ACTTCTGTAGGCCTCCTGTTTTTCAGCAATGAGATGGGGACAGTGTAGGATTGTTTGAGAATTCAGAGCTGTTACCTGTAGTGTTCACAGCAGAGCCTGGTACTTAGCGAGTACTGAGCGCGGGTTGCAGTTAATATTAGCAGTAGCAGCAACAGCTTGTAAACCAAGCAGTTCCACAGAGGGTGGAGGCAGAAACTGAATTTCAAGCAAATCAAAGTCTTCACGTCACACCCACAAGAATGTTGTGCTGGGGGGCCGGCCTGGTGGCGCAAGCAGTTGGGTGCGCGCGCTCTGCTTCAGCGGTTCGGGGTTCGCAGGTTCTGATCCCGGGCACACATCCACGCACCGCTTGTCAAGCCATGCTGTGGCGGCGTCCCATATAAAGTAGAGGAAGATGGCCACGGAGGTTAGCTAAGGGCCAATCTTCCTTGGCAAAAAAGAGGAGGATCAGCATCGGATGTTAGCTCAGGGGTGGTCTCCCTCACAAAAAGAAAAAGAATGTTGTGCTGTTATTTTTTCTCCTTCCGAAGTGCACTCCATCACACTCACACAGTCAGCCCTTTGCTTATCAGAAACCCATCCTTCTCGGCCCTGTTGGGTTTCCTCTCCTCCATGAAGCTTTTCCTAAGCCCTTAGCTGGAAACGCTTGCAGTTGTTGATCGTATATGGCTTTACAGAAAGGACAAGACAGCCACCTTCTGTAACTCACTTCTTGTCAGTTAATCCACCTTCGATTACATGTGCTCCTTCTAGAAGGCTCAGCTGTCATTACTCTTTACCTGGGAAAATGTGATGCCTTGCATAGGGTTTTACTGCCTGAGGTTGCTCCTCGGTTAGATGCAACTGAAAAATAAATTACATCTCTAACTGGGATTTGGGCATGTTTCTGGTGCTCTGTGATTGAGCTAAGCTGCTAAGCCTAACCCGTCAGTGATAACCGGCTCTTCTACTCCCAGAGCTGATGAGGGAAAGCTGGTAATTTCTCGTGTGTGATACATGTCCACCCTCTCACCTGGTGTTTTGTGAATGTATTGTCTTAACTGTCTGTTAAGTATCTGCCTGGGAGGACGCCTTCCTCTGTTTTCTAAAACGCCAAGTGATACGACTGTGACGTACAAATAATGATAATTAGAAGACAGCCTCAAATTATTTGACATCCAGATTGAAGGGAAAAGTGGTACTTTTTTTATATATATAATACCCAAGAATTTGGATCAGAAGTGGCATTCAAGAGAAAAACATATTGCTTCCTGTCAGACTTGGATGGTTCAAAGCTTCTTGTATCTGAAGTCGGAAAATGGAGCCGAAACATGTGGGGCATCAGATCTGGGTCTAGGCGATAAAGACTGAATCTTCTTCACCATGACGCATTTGAAAATACAGAAATAAGCTGGGAGCTAAAGAAGAGGGAAATCATTTTACCTTAAATTCCATAAAGTATTTAATAATCATTAAATTGGCATCACTTCCCAACCTCTGGCCTCTTTCTTTTTAAAAATGTCTAGAACCAAGGTTTCCAGAATTTGGCTCATCCTGTCTTGGCCTGCCTTAATAATGCCTCTTAAATTTTCAAGGAATTCTTCCTTTTATCGTAGTTCCTGATGGGTAAATGTCAGACTGTTTATTTGCTTAGTGGAAAGAACATAGGATCAAGAATCAGAAAGGCAGGGTTTGATTTCCAGCCTTGCCATATGATAGCTGTGTGGCCTTGGCCTATTTAACCTCCAAATTTATTTCCTCCTTTGTAAAATAGTAATTACAGCACAGAGAACACCCTGAATACTTACAGGTGATACTAATTTACATCCATGTGCCAGTTATTGTTCTAAATAACTTATTTAATAGTTGAGAAAACTCAGGCCCAGAAAGGTTAAGTAACTTGTGTAAAGTCACACAGCACATAAGTGATATACAAAGGTAGAGATTAAGATTATCCTCAGATCCACAATATGTTGAGGTAAGCCGTGCAGAGGGACACCAGTGCTGACTGTTGAGATGGCCCAGCAGCCCCCTGCTGAGTGGGAAGAGGTGTAGGGGAGAGGGCAGGCTGCAGTGTCCTTTTTCACGTGTACTCGGTCTCCCTGCTCCCTTCTTCCTCTGCCTCCAATACATATCTGATTTTTATTAATTTTTCTTTCATTCTCTTTCAAATCCCCCTTTCTGTTTCCACTGACCCCACTCTTATCCAGACGCACCTCGTTCATATCTCCACTTTTGTTATGGTGATATTACTCCTTGTCTCTCCCTCACCATTCACTAATCCATCTCCCGTTCCCTTTGCAATAGCTCTCAGTCTTCTGGCTCGAGCAATTCTGAGTCTGATCCATTCTCCATTCTGTGCTAATCTGCTTTTATAGTAGAACTTCTCTGTTCAAAAGCCTGCAACTCCTCACTGTGTATAGAAGTAAAGATCATGCTCTTTAACTGGGGTCGTATGATGCTTTGGGTTGTGAGTGAAAGATAACCAACTCGAAAGGTATAAGGGGCCAGCCTAGTGGTGTAGTAGGTAAGTTTGTGCATTCTGCTTCGACAGCCCAGAGTTCACAGGTTCGGACCCCGGGCGCAGATGTACACACTGCTCATCAAGCCATGCTGTGGCGGCACCCTGTGTACAAAATAGAGGAAGATGGGCACAGATGTTGGCTCAGGGCCAGTCTTCCTCGAGCAAAAAGAGGAAGATTGGCAACAGATGTTAGCTCAAGGCCAATCTCCCTCACCAAAAACAAAACAAAACAAAAAAATGTGTAAGAAAAAAGGCAAATACAGAGGGCAAGTTGCTCACTTCAGGCAGGGCGGAATCCAGGGGCTTGGGACATGTTACCAGAGTTCAGTTTGATGCATGTGAGAGCCCCCAGTAGCTCAAGGCTCACAGCTTACTTAATGAGCTCCCCACAGAAGGATGGCCTCTTCCCTGACACCTCTGACTTGGACCACATGCCCATCCCTAGTCACTTGGGCTAAGGGATGGGCCTGTTGAACAGGTACAAGCCACAGATGTCCACACTGCTTCCCATTCAACACCCTCTCCAGTCTGGCTGATTCTCCTCTCCAGTGCCCCGCAGCTCTCCTCATTAGTTCATTCACCCTCCCCACAAGGGGTCTGCTCTAAGCTTTTCCAACTCTGCCCTGGGTTGTGCTGGTCTCCCTCTGATGTTCTTCCCTGACATCTCTCTGTTCATCAAAATTATACCAATTTTTCAAGGCCCAGCTAAAATATTTTCTACAAAGCCTTTCCTTACCCTGCAACTGGTAAAAGGTCATTTCTGCCTTTTCTGTCTAAAGTTGGTGCCAGGCATCTATCGTACGCTTCCTTTCACTGTCTTATTAGCTGCCGTCTTGAACCCCATGCCTTTCTATAGGTCTTAACGTGCACGAAGCAGTTTCATGCACAGTATTTCAGTTGCTCTAATGCAGAAGCCTGTAAAGTCATCAGAGAAGGTACTTTAATCCCATTTTTACAGCTCAGCATTTCTTGAACACCAACTATGCACCAAGACTTGTGCTAGGTGCTGAAGTGAAAAACATGAATGTGATAACGTCCAGATGCTTTACTCTTCCGATTTTACAAATGAGGAAATTGAGGCCTAATAAATAAGTGGCCAAGTGTCCCACTGACCATCTTTTTCAGTTCCTGGAAGATGCAAGCTCTTTGTCACCTCTGGGCGTTCGCAGATGCCATGCCCTCCACCTGGAACATTCTTTCCACTCTCACCTGACCAAACCCTACTCATCTGTCAGAGTGTAATTAAAATGTCACTGTTTTAGAGAATTTTCCATTGACCACCCCTCCCCTAAATCTAACACAGGTCTACTGCTCTCTCTCCCAATACTCCTCTGTTTTTCCCCATAGTGCTTATCACAAATTATAGTTATTTTATTTTTATAAAGGCATTTGTTTAATGTCTCCCCACTAGACTACACCCCACGAGGACAGGAGTAATGCCATTTTTGGCGACTCCTGTATACTCAGTGCCTGGCACCCATGCCTGACACAGAGGGGGGACTCAGGAAATAATGTGTTGAATGAATAAATGCAAACATCAGCCGTTCACGCAGCTCAGTAAATGCCAGAGCAAAGGCTAGAACTCAGGTTGCCTGAAGCTCAGGTCAGCATGACGCCAACTCTTGCTGTGTCCTACGTTGTGCCCTTGAGCAGCCTCCCCTGATGAATTACGTGATCACCAGGACTCAGAACTGCAGTCCCGGCTCTTTGTATGGGTTCCTAAGACGTTAGCACTGTTTGATATGTGGGTGTTTAAGATATGAAGGGTGGAGATGTGTTTGGATGGGTGGACAGAAGGAATGAGAGACAGATGGACAGACTTGCAAACAAGATGCCCGGATAGTCCACAAAGGAGATGATCAGTGTGTGGGGGCGTGGGGAGAGCAAAGCTAACATATGACACCCCTGCCTTCCTGCGCAGGCCCTGTGTTAGAAGGCACTGGCGGCCTGGCTTTAGGAGCTTCACCTGCACCCTGGTTAAGATCTAAAACTAATACTCTATTCTGGAGTTCTTGGAATAAACCTTCTGTTTTGGTGGGTCTTGAAGAGTTTTCATTTTTATATTCTTATCGTGTTATATTGGAACACTTTCATTATACATGAAAGCAACTTTTATTTCCTCACCAGAGTGAGCAGCCTGTTACTATAGCAATATCGAAAGTATTTTGAGGTATTTTTATACAGTGTCTGCAAACTGTACATAGTGGTTAATAGAAACAGGCTATAATATCCAAAATTGTTTTTCTCTTGTATCTTTATATTCTTCGTTAAACTTTTGCAAATTTTGCTATAATTTAATTCCTGAAATTTAAACCTATTATTTTTAGGAAAGATTAGTTTAGGGGAGTTGTTAATATATTTGACCTATTGAACATTGAAAATAGCTCTGAAATAACTTGAATTTTGTTGTGAATGCCATAAAGATAGAGTTGTTTCTTGAGATCTGTCTTTTTTAGAAAATGAGATGCAATCATAGATTCCTCCTGTGTGTCCGTAGGGCCTGGACAGCTTCAAAGTGAAACAGAAATTCTTCTCAGGCAACCAGGAGCCAACAGCCTCCTTTCCTGTGCCGTATGATCTGCCTCCAGAACTGTATGGAAGTAAAGGTGAGATGAAGGAAAACCACGGGTGTATGTACCAAAGCAGAAACAGTACCCAGGGGAAGCCATTGGTCTCTCAGTGGGAGGCTGGCTTATGGGACATTCTGGAAGCACAGGTTTCCAGAGGCCCCTTTACTGCCGTGTCTGGGACCACTAGAGCCACAAATCTCAAACTGGTTCGCCTTGGAACCCCTCTGCAGTGTTATAATTATTGAGGATCACAAAAAGCTTTTATGTACATGGGTTTTTTTATCTATTGATGTTTACTATGTTAGAAATTAAAACCAAGAAATTTTAAAATATTTATTAATTTGTTTTTTAAATAACACTAATAAACCATTATAACATATATATTTTTATGACTTTAAAACAAAAAAGAAATTTATGAGGAAGGTGGCATTGTTTACATTTTTTGCAAACCTCTCTACTATCCAGGTTAATGGAAGACAGCTGGATTCTCATAGCTGCTCTGTTGTGGTTTCACGTGTCACGTAGCCTCTGTGCACTCGTGAGAAAGTGAAAGTGACAAATCATGACTTAATATTATGCTGAAAGTAATTTTGACTTCACAGACCCTTCCCCTTAAAAAAGAGGTCCCCAGGTCACACTTTGAAAACTGCTGCCCTAGACAGCACTAGACTAGGACTTTCTTAAGGGCAGTGACCAAGTATTTTTCACAATAGAAAGTCGGTGGAATATCAGTTCAGGTTCAGTGTTTTTGGAGGAAGGCTGGCTGGCTGGTGTCGGTGGCTCCACCATCATCCCAGGTCTGACCCAGCCCCACAGGCTGGCAACACTGCTTTTCTCAGCTCCTGTCTTTGAGGCAAGTTCACACTTAGCACACTCACACAGAAGGAAATGTATAATCAGGACACGATTATTTATTTTTAATGGCAAATGCCCATATCACCACAACCAGCATATTTTCCCCAGGAAGGTAGAGACCTACACGGGTAGCCAAATTATAATCTACAGGTTTCTGAGTGCGTGCTGAATCTGAACGGGGAAAATTCCTTTTTTGATTGAAAAGTTGTAATGATATCACCCCATTAATATTCCAGACTCGCTGACCGCCTAACAGAGTCAGCCTTGGGCAGTGAGTCCCTTTCTTCCCTAGACCATGCTGGGTGGACACCAGCTACTTCCCCACCCACACTCACCCTTTAAGGCTTTCCTGGTGAACCAAACCTCCCCCTTCTGATGGACCCATGTCTTTGATTGTATTGGTACGTCTAACAGTTAATCCTCTGTCATGCTCTCTGGTCTGCCAGCCTGCCTCTTGCAGGTGACTTTATAGATCTCTAATCAGTTGTGTTGATACAAAGTTTCAGAAGGCATTCTTGTTCCCATCATTTCCAAGCTATGTACATTTTTTTGAATCCTCTGAATTTGTTGAGTCCTCTAAATTTGTTGTATATTCATTTCTCGCTAGCAAGATTATGTAAGTTTTATCAGAATTTCAAGGAATCTGTGACTCCCCCCACCTCCCCCCACCTCCACCCCCGAAAACACTGCTTTAGAACCAGGTTGTGTTTAGGTGTCAACCTTACAACTTACTAAGTGACCTTGGGCAATTATCTGCTTTCTATAGGCCTTAGTGTTTCTATCTGCAAAATGAGAAAATAAGAGTGCCTGCCTCATAGGGCTGTTGAAAAGAGTAACTGAGATGGCATCTATGAAGCACTTAACACAGTGTCGAGCTGAGAGTTAGCAGTCAATAAATGTGGGCCGTTGTTTCTGTTATTCAAAATGTCCAGTTCAGTTCCTGGCATGTACTAGTGGGTCTCCCCTTCCCTTTGGTGAGCTGATGATGAAAAGAGCCTAAGGCCTGTGCGAGACAGTCCCTGAACCTGCCCAGGTCACAGGACATGACATGATAACCTCTCCTTCCACATCTGGCTTTCGGCTGCACCTTTGTCTTTTCTCCCTTTCTTATTCTTCATGTTTTGTTTTGTTTTGTTTTTTTCCTTAACCTGAGTTCTCCTGAATAAACACATTGAAAGTGGACACTGACTGTGATTGCCTTGGGCCTTACCTACTGGGGTCTGGCCTTGGGCCTTGTACTTCCACCCCCAGGTGGGAACCTTGGCTGGAATTCCACCCCCTCTCTTTAATCCTAATCTCCAAAGGACTATGAAAGCAGAAATGGAAGAGATAGAGGAGCAATAAAAATATCCTGAATTCCCTTCAGTTCCAATAGACAAAGCATTCCCAAGAACTTAAAAGTTTACAACTGGGTAGTGTCTTAGACCGTGTAAGGATAAATCTTTTATTTTGCCAACAAGTAGAATGCTTTCCATTGTTTAGTTTCCTCTTTGGTATCCATTTCCTTTGAAAGATATATACAGGACAGACTGGAGCATTTTATTTTTTTATCAGTACAGTTTTACCTTATAGACTGCTTCAGTAGCATGTAGAATAATGCCAGTGATCCAGATTTCACCATTTCATATATAGCCAACATTCAGGGGGGTCATATGAACTATAAAAAGGCATCTTACCAAGATTTGGAAAAGTGAGTGGCTAAGAACATTTCAAAAGCACTTCATTTGAAAAAGTGATTTTCAAGCCACTGGAACACATATAAGATCTTGCTAAATCAGAAAACTGTACAAAAACCTTAGCAAAGAAATAACACCGCTGTGAGCAAGTTACAGTTCAATACGAGAGACCACCAGACGTCCTGAAACCAAGAAACTGATCAAATAAAGCAAACACGAAGACTCAGCTGCAGCATACCTTGCTTCGTGCAGTGCTTGCTGCTGATTCATTCTCTACAGGTACATTATTGAGAACCTACCGTGTGCAGACACTGTCTCGTTCTTCCAGATGTCCGTGAACCAGACAGACACGAATCTTTGCCCTCATGGAGTCGACATTACTCTTCTCCTAAAAAATTGTACTTAACCAAACTTATTTTACTAATAGGAGCTGTAGTTTTAAAAGAAAATTTTTATAAAGCAAATTTTATAAAGCAAAGTTTTAAATCTAACACAAATTATTTCCGTATGTCCCACTTGCTGTGTGACCCTGAGCCTGAAGAGAAGGTGACATAGATGAGTGTACGATCTCTCCTGGGTGTTCTCCCAAGGGCCTCTGCTCTGCACTCCTTTTTAGCTTATATTTGTATTATCTGATGTACTGTTGAGAGAGTAAAATGAGGTGAAGTTATGTAAAGCCTCTTATTTGGACTTAATAAGTTATCTGTCAAGTGTAAGGAGTAAGTGAACATACCGAACTTCAGAGGTTTTAGTTATTTTATTTAATAAGTGGCTTTTTTTAAATACACATGGTATATGTATAGTATTCTTTCAAATTTTTGACATAATTTCTGATTTACAAAAGGTCACAAGAGAAATACCAAGAATTCCCATATACCCTACCCAGGTGACATTTTATCACATTTGCATAATCCTCCTCTCTCTCTCAAATGTTAGCTTTTTTCTAATCCATTTGAGAGAAAGTTGCAAACATGATGTCCCTTTATCTCTAAATACTTCAATATAGATTTCCTAAAAATAAAGACATTCTCTTACATAACCACAGTACAGTTACCAAAATAAGGAATTAACATTGATTCAGTACTGTCATCTACAGAACTGATTCACATTTCATCAGTTGCCCCAATAACATCCTTTATAGCAAAAGAGAAATGCAGGTTACCAGTCACTTTCAGTCATCACGTCTCTTTACTCTCCGTTAATTTGGAACAGTCCACAATGTTTTTGTTTTTGTGTTGTGTGATGTTGTCACTTTGCTGAGCACAGGCCTGTTATCTTATAGGCTGTGAGGGACATTCTACATTGGGTTTGTCCATTGTTTTTTCATAATTTGATCCCGATTATGCACTTTGCCAAGAATACCACAGAAGCAATGTTGTGTTCTTCTTGGTGCATCATATAAGGAGTCACGTGGTATCGATCTCCCTGATTAATGGTGAAATTAACTTTGATCAGCTGGCTAAGGTGGTATCTGCCAGGTTGTACATAATCTCTTGCAGGTATATTTAAAAATTTTTAAAGTTTTAAGTGTCTAGAACTAAGCTAGTAACCTGGATATGTAATTGCTCAGTAGAAGTCCTTAAAACCTGCTTGGCACATGACATATGCATGATATGGATTTAGCACATCTATAGTCTATATAATCCTTAAAGGGCTTTAAAACTATTAGTTCCCAAATGGTTTAACCATTCTTCCTACTGTTGGATTAATTTAAAATAATTCCTCACATCTAGATAGTATAGGAATAAACTTCAGTCTAGATCTATCAGAATTATTGCTAAATAGTAGAGTCCAGATTCCTAAAGTATTTTTGTAAGGGAAACAGAAAGATGATTCAATTTTCTAATCCAGAGATAATACAAAAGAGGTAGGTTGCTTAAAATCATTGTTGATATGTTTCATTTTAATTTTTAAGGACTTGTTTTTGAAAGCTCTTTAGAAATGAGGTTTTTTTTTTAATGAGGCAGCCAACAGGTTTTTTTGATAATTTCCTTTAATAAAATCTATGTTTGTTTCATAGCACAAACACAAGGCTGAAACTAAACTTCCAGCTTAGCTTTTAAAATTACTTTGTAATCAGAAAGCTTAAGGAAATCTAGAATTATCAAAGTAAAAAAGAGTAATTTATCAGATTACCTTGAAATAAATAGCTACTTGGTTTTTAGCAATTTGAATTATTCTTCCTCCCACTAGATAGATTGTTCTGTGTATATAGTTACAGCTTAATATGGGGGGTTCTTCACTGAGAACGGTGTTAGTGGGTCTCAGATAATACTGATACTGCAATTACAAATAATTACATTTCTCCTAGGTTGGGAACCCAGTGCAAAATATTTTGGAGCTTTCCTTCCTATTGCCAGCTGGCAAGTCTCTTATACTTTCCTGGATTTCAGAGTAGGCTAAAGTAAAAGAGCATCAGAAATCTTATGCTAGTTGGTTCTTCTCTCTGGCATCACACATGCATGCACACACCCCACACACACATCCCCACCACACACACTCCTGGTCTGTTTGTGCTGATATGAGGAAAGAATTAAGTTGTTGACACAAATAATCAATAATCATTCTGTTGTAAAAGAAAAGGGGAGAGAGAGTTTTATTCAGGCCAAAACTGAGGGCTGTAGCCCGGGAGCCACAGCCTTCGTAAAGGAAGAAAGCACAGTTATATACCTTTTCCAAACAGAGAGACATACACCAAGCATGACGGGTGCATTCTTTCAAGGGTTCAAGGAGATGTTTGTTACAGATTAGCAGGTACACAGCAGGCCAACATGACCCTGAAATCGTGGGAAGGGAGACTCATCTTCAAAGAATTCTGGTGTCATAGGAAGGGAGGCATCAATTCTTCAAAGAGTACATTCTTTACTTAGGATAAGGATTAGAGCAGATGTACAGTGTATGTTTGACAAGCCAGAAGTCAGGCCTCTTTGGTTTAAATGAATTTAGGCCAGATCAGGTTTAAACCAGAATGGCTTCCCCATCACCTCAAGATATAAAAATTTCTTATATCAAAGGGATTGCTCAGGTGACAGACAATGGCTTATGGAGGTATATCAAGTTCCCCTGGAAATAAGACAGTGGGAAATGTACATATTGGTGTGTGATCCTGGGAGTAAGTGGGGGTATAGTCGTAAGTCCTTAACCCAAGGGCCGTTTCTTAGAGGATTAGAGGAAAGAGCTTATTGACTGGCTAAAAAGAACAGGATTTGTACCGTACTTGGGTTTGTCTGGTTTTTAAAAAACCTGTTAGGACCTATGCAGCACATAGGATAATGGCAATCCATGTCCTCTAGGAGTCGAGGGTGGTGCTAATTATAATAATAATAGCAGCTAGCACTCATTAAGTACTGATTATGTGCCAAGAGCTGCAATGACACTTGACATGAATTAATTCATTAAATCCTCACTACCCTGTGATACAGGTACTAGTCCAAACTGTATTTCTGTCAAGATCACCTTTAGAACTTGATAAAAAAATGCACATTGCCAGGCCCTAGCCCAGATCTACTGAAACAAGCTCCCTAGGAGTGGGTCCTTGGAAAATACCAGCGATTCTCATGCCCTCCCAGTTAGGGAACCACTACGCAGACATGGTGAAGTTCAGAATTCCAGCACCATGGCATGCCTGCTTGTCTGTCTGCCCCACTGGGCTGTAAACTCTGAGAGGACCTCAGCTTTGTCGAGCTTTTCCCCCTCTCCACCCAGAGCACCTAGCAAAGTGCTGGCATCTAACCAGCACTCAACAAATATTTCAGATACATGCATGACTATATCAGAGGCAAGTTGTCCTCTCGTGGGACAGTTTAGGAGGATTGCTTAAAACAGGCCTTCATCTCAACTGGTAAGTGTTAATGCTGATTTCCAATCTCAGTGGGTAAAAAGACACAACAGAATCACAACCACCCTTTTTTCACCTCCCTGTTGGCTTTTTTTTTGTGGTGGTGGGCCCTTCAGCCAGCATGGGAAGCAATCAGCCGGTAGTGCAGACATTTGCTCATTTATAAAGCAGAGCGGCAGGGGATTTGCCAATAGGGTAGTTACCAGGTCCTTATGTGGTCATTGTTGGCTAATTTTGAGGGACAGGAGTCAATGCAGTGGTGGTCCTGAAGTTACTGGCTGACTGGCAAATGTTTGCATCACAAATCCTGCATTGGTGAAGAATCTCTCTAATAGCTGTTCATACAGCAAGAATCGGGGTGTCCTCTGCCTTGGGGATGAAGGAAAGCCGATGTTACCCAGCAGAACAATATGCAGGACAAAATGGGTAAATCGGAGAAGTCCATTCACAGAAGATGGTGTTTCCAATGGAAGAGAGCAGGTGCTTTGGTAAGCCCAGTTAGTCGCCGTGTGGAGTCAGGTCTCCAGCCCTGCTAGTTCCTCGCCTTTTCTGAAACAAACATGTAACACAGGCCCCGGTATATGGCTCTCTAACAAGCTTGTTAATTAACAAAAAGTGTGTGGTTTCATGCTGTCAAACCATCTCAAAGCCAAAGACAAGAGAAGAGGGTTTTGATAACTTGTTGCCATCTTTGGCATTCTTTTCCTGCACATCCTGCTAAGCGCTGCTGTTTTCAGGCTGGCTCAGTGATTATTCGACACTAATAGTGAGGCTGCAGGGAGGGAGCAGCAGGTACCATTGTTTGCCAGGCTGTCCTCGGAGCTACCATCTGCCTCTGTTCAGAAAAGGGAAGTAGCCTCCCCCAGGGGCAGTTGGCAGTGCTGAGCAGCCGCTTCAGTGGGATGGTCCGTCTCAGCAGACCTGCCGAGTGGCCAGTTTACTACAAGCACTCAACCCTTCAGAGTTGTTCCATCTCTCAGACTTATCAGGACAATAAATGGGGATTTATTTTTAATCCTTGTGATGTGTTTACACCCTACCCATATCATTATGGTTCTTCTGAAATGATTTGACTCTAGCAGTAGCAATGCGTGCTAGAGGTGATTTGTTCTGATTTTTTCAATTTCTGAACATCGGTTGAAGGAAGAAAAGGTCACATTTATTGAGCACCTCCAACATGCCAGGTGTTCTCTCATTTATGCTTCACAATAATCCTGGGAGGTTGCTAATGTAATTAATTCCCATTTCCCAGATGAGGAACCTGAGGCCAGAATCCAAATGCATTCCCCTAGGGTGCAGACAAGGATGAAGGTGGGATTTGAACACAAGTCTTATTTCCATTGTACCATGCCAAGGAGTGTTGCTTTCTTTGACAATTGTCTGCAATCCTTATACAGAAACCCTCATCCCTTATCAATTATTAACCTTAAGGAACAGAACAAAAACATTACATGGACGTGACTCTGGGCCTCTTGGTTGTATGTGACCTTGACCAGCTGAGAGCAGAACAATGGCCCTTGACTGTACCAGTTGTTACTGCTGGTTTCTCCAGCTTCTTAAAAGAAGAAAATAATGGCTGTCCTTTGTTAGGTTCTCTCTGTGCCAGACACTGTCTTGCACACTACATGGATTTATCTCCTTTAATCCTCATGACAGCTGCATGACATAGGTACAGATAAGGAAACTGAGGCTCAGAGAGTGGAACTGACTTGTCAGTGTAAGTGGCAAGCCGGAAGGCATCCCTGGGTTTCTGCTTGCCTGCTTCAATGTTCACTCACGCCATGTCTTGACACGAACCTTTGCTGAAAGCCATTGTCTGAAATAGGCTATCGTCTGGGCTTGGTTCAGAAAAGGTTCTTCACAATTTGTAGACTCCAGCACATAAGTGATTTTATCCTGTTAGGTGAGTGAATTTTTGGTAATCCTGTTCAAATACGTCATATATTTATGTAATGTGTTTTTTCCCCCTAGATCGGCCCTGGATTTGGAACATTCCTTATATGAAAGCACCAGATACACATGGGAACATGTGGGTTCCCTCCTGAGAATCTTAAAGCACTGTGAAATTTATGTGTAAGACGTTGAGCCATGAACATTGGATGTTTTTGTTTGTACTGGATGTTCACTTCCCTTAAAGTTTTATCTGCACCCTTATGAAACTCTTTGCAGAGGTCAATTTTTGAACATGGATGTTGGTTATACTTTTTAATGGTCGTTATTAACATTTCTCACTAAACAAAACAAAGAAATATTTTCTTAGTTCACTTTTCTATGCTTTGGAACGAAAGCTATTAAACTCACAATGTTAAAAGACTACATAGATATGAAATTATCCTCAGAGTGATGTGGAATCTCACGTGGTGTCCGCTCTTCTGAGTTGAAGGTTGACTTTGTGTGTTGTGCTCCATCCATCGGGAAAGGTGCTCTTCATTCAACTGAAACTTTTCAGAGGAACAAAGGGACCATTAGCTTTCTCACCCAGCTCACTCTCCGCTTCCTGAATGTGTCTCGGACCACACTGGACGTGAGTCTGCGGATTCCTGGCACCTGTCGCCGAGGCTGGTGTGGCTGCCCTTCAGAAGCGATAAGTCAGGTTGACTGTCATCGCCTTGCAGCTTCACAGGATTTTTCATCCTCCCCAGCACCATGCTGGCTGCCTCACTCTTACGGAGGGGTCTCATGGGACCAGACCACCTGCCATTTCCTCACTTATTCCCCAGGCTGCATGGGTGTCTCTTCCATCCCCACAAATTTCCAGACAAGACAGCTCACAGAATCGTACAAAAGCACACAAGTATTTTGCTTGGAAGAAACCCTGAAAGGGGACCTGATTTGGTGCTTGAATTCACAAGTGAGAAAACTGAGGCCCAGAAAGGTTCAGGATGTCCCCGGGGTCACACAGCTGGCTGGGATCCGAGCTGAGTGTCTTTCTGCCTTGTGTACCTGTGTCCTTCGTACTTATGAATGGGTTCTCCTGGGTGACGTGGACCCTCTTTGTTTTCTTCTGCACAAGGCTGATTTCCAGTTTACCACTAGCCTCTTCATCTTGTAATTTAGAACAGAGTTAAGTGTTAATTTTAAAAGATTTTTAAAGATAGCTTTTCAAACTGTTCCTCAGAGGCCTAGGATTTTCACCTTAGCAACCTTGAAGGGTGGGGTGGGGGTGCTGTGATAGAAGAGGAGGCTAGGAAGACAGGGCTGCTGGCCCTCTTCCCATCAGAGAATCTCTGCTTTACCTGTTTTGTATATAGGGATTCTATAAAGGAGAGTATCTGGGATTTTTTTTTTTTCTTTTTTTAGTGATCTGATTTTTTTTTAAAAGTTGAATAGCCACTAGAATTAGATTAGCAGGTTCATTCCACAGGTAAGAAAACTAAGGTTTAAGCCTTTTCTGACCCTGCCTTCTACTTCCTAGAACATGTAAACGCTACGTCATGTGAGCCCAGAAGGCAGTGGGGAGGGTGCCCTGGGCTGGCAGTAGAGGCCAGCGTAGCGAAGGGGCCGGCCCAGAGCGGGTGCCCAGCAGTGTGACCTGCATGTCCAAAGGTCTGTGGCGGGGCATCCGAGATTCTCACCGGCACGGTGGTCCCATGCCAGGTGGGGGGGGGTGGAGGCAGCATGAGCTGCTTGGCAGCACCAGGCAGGCCTCTCAGTCAGCAGAGGCAGTGTCACGATGGCTGTAAGCAGTCAGCCTGCCCTGGAATGGGACCCAGAAAGCCTGGGCTGCTCGGGGCCCAGCCAATCAAGATGCCAGTGGCAGGGGGACAGCAGTCATGGCGGCCTGCCTGGCAGGCACTGTGTAGGGTCGCACAGTCCATTGCTCATCTGAGCCGCATAACTGCAGAGTGGGTCAGAGCTCAGAGCTGGAGTCAGGCTGCCGGGGTTTGAATCCCAGCTCTGCCACTTACTCGCTGTGTGGCCTGGACCAGGTTATTTAACTTCTCTGTGCCTTGGTCCCCTTAACAGTAAAATGGGGCTGGTAGTAACAATACCCATTGCAGGGGGTTATTGAGTGTCTGGTGAGTTAGCACATGAAAGTGCCTGGAGTGTGTGCCCACACAGAGTGAGAACTGTAGAGTGATTGCTATGGCAGCTGTTACAGTTGTGCATTAAGATTGTCCTCATTTTCCTGATAGGGAAACCGGGACTCAAAAAGGTAAGTGCTTGTTCAAGGTCACACTTTTAGAAAGTGCTCCTATCAGTATTTGGACCCAGGTCTGGCAGCACCCAAAGCCTGTTCAGTGCTGCCAGGCAGCCCAAGCTCCGGGTATCTGTGGAGGACAGTATCTGTGAGGAGACGGACCATCTTCCCCCCAGTCCATTGTGGACAGATCCTTTTATGGAATGCAGAATCAGGTGCTTGGGTGTCACAGCGCTGTCAAATGGCTATGAAAGTTTCTAAATGCTCCCCTTTACTTTCTGTGCTCATCACAGACCAGCCCTGGTCCACAGGCCACGGTTGGAGTAGCACTCCTCTGGACCCAGTGGGGACCCAGAGGACCATCTGGAAACAGACAAGTTCTGTAGAATGGGCTGGGTAGTCCGTGGTCAAAGGGTGTGTACTCAGTAGGTGCCCAGACCCAGCCCCTGACAGCAGCCTCCTGTGCCCCTACCCTGGTCAACATGGGCTCAGGGAGGGCAGGGCTGAGCCAGGCCAGCACAGGTAGGGGCGGTACCATGAGCTTTCTGGGCACAGTTGATGGCACACATGGGAAATAAAGTAATGCCCCTAGAATGGTCAACATGGAACACAGAAAACAAGCAGTTCTACCCCATCTGGTCCTTTCTCAGGGAGATTGGCCAAATTACCTAAAGTGCTACAAAAAACATCGTCAAACACACTTGTTAATGTTTTTGAAGAAACTGCTTCCATTATTCTCAGGCTCGGGTTTAACAGTTATTTCTCCCTAACTCAAGAAACCCTCACCTCCTGTCTGCATGAAGCTGCATTGCCACCTTTTATCCCTTTTTTCCACCTCCTCCCGCCCTTTTAGATCTCACGGAAACACTGTCCAGTGACTTTATACCTGCTGAGGGCAAACCTCCACATAAAAGAATCCGACCTCTTGCCTCTTCATAAACTGTCAATATAGGAGACTTCAGCTGATTAAGGAGTTTCTCTGCATGTGGACAAAAGGAACCACTGCCTTTGTTTCATAAAAAGTTTTATCTTGTTTTGGAATCTTACCTAACATCCTTTTCTAGAGATGGACATGGAGCCAAAAGTCTAAATGAGGTTTTCACACCAGATGATGAATTTCAATAGAATATTTTGAATGAGCATTTAAGAGAGCTAAAAAATTTTTGAGGTCATAAAATTGTCTAACACATGGTGACTTAAAAGAAGTCACCTGCCATTTTGACAGGAAGACTTCATGTCCCTTCCGTTTCCCACGCATTCTCGAATGAAGAGGGGGTTGGTCTGCCACCAGCCTCTTTCTTGGGGTAAGGGAGGGAGATAGGATTTCTAAATTTTTTTTTTTATCATCACACTCCTGGGAAAAGCTGCCTGGTTTTATCCATAGTGTGATATAAGTCAACCTTCAAGTTCACTAATTTGGGAGGCTGCCTTCTTCCACATGATAATAGTAACAGCCGATGTTTCTTGAGTTCTTCCTATGCTTAAGGGCCTTACATTTAATCCTCATGTCAACCTTCTGTTAAGTGACATCCATAAGGTCCCACAGTTAGCAACAGAGCCAAGCTTCATTTTGCTGGGTTCTTGTGTAGAAGTTACATAGTTATCCTTAACAGAAGTTATTAACATTACGTGTCTTTTCAAATGAATGTGGTTTATGCTTCAGATTCAGGATGCTTAAAATGAGAATCTTGGATTTGATTTTGTCACGACTTTTTTTCCGACATGAAATTAAAAGTTCACTTTCTAGGGAAATGACATCTAATATTTGATCCATTGTGAAACCAATTTTTGAGTGACCTAGATGTTTCTTTGATTCAAATCTTAGGATATTTGACTTTCTCCCTTGTTACTAAAAAATTGCTATAGCTGGAACCCTTTCCTTTCTCAAGCAAGAGAATTCCTTGAAAATACTTGCTTTAGACTGATCAATACCTCAGAGAAAGTGTTTGGATAGGCATTCTTATTTACATTCATAAAACGTGGCAATTGTATTGATAGATGAATGATATTGTAATGACAGTATGAAAAAAGTCTGTACAGGAATTCAATGACAGAAATAAAATAGCTTACCTATTGTATAGGATTAAATCTAAAATTCTATTGATGATATGCTAACTATGCATAGATCAGATCCCATTATGACAAAATCTTTGACAAGTTTTCCAAGTTTAGTAGTTCACTTATTTCAAGCATTATCCAGGACAAAAGTGTACTACAAACAAAGCTACAATTTCTTACTGCATTTTTCTGGGTATGAGCTATATTCCTTGTTTTACAGGGTTCCAAGCAAGTCTGTCTATTTCTATTGCATTTTATCTTATTGCATTTTATAGCTAGTAAGTTATATGTCTTAAGTGGCCGTTGCTTATATAATGGGATTCACAAAACAAAAGTTGAGACAGATCAGAAAGAGAGGTTACATGCAGCCATTTGCTCCTGGGAGATGCCAGCGATACAACCAGGACCCCAACGTGGAGGGAGGTGACCACCTCTGAGCCCAGTCTCTGTCCACTAGTCCCTAAGCAATAACGTTAACTGCCAAGTATTGACTACTTGCTATGTGCCAGGCACTGTCCTATGTGTTTTATGTGTATTAACTAATTTAATCTTCATAATAACCTGATCAAGGAGGTACCTTATTCCCATTTTACAGATGGGGAAACTAAGATTATTTGTCCTAGGCCACACAGCTGGCGAGTGGCAGAGCTGGGATCTGAACCCAGGCAGTACTGCAGTGAGGAACCAGACAGCAAGTGTGGCAGATGTTCCTGAGCTCCAGCCAAGGAGCAGGCCTTGTGTATATGATGTGTAACTGTAACTACAAACCAGGTGCGCTTTCATCCACTGTCACAGCAAATCATGGTTGGCGTGACAGAAGCAGCTAGCGGCGCATCAAACCAACCACTAAGTGTCGCATTAGCATGCAGGACTGAGCTGCTGAATTCTTAAAGCCAGATGCTGACGGTGGAGTAGGTTCCTTGCGAGTGAGAGCATCGAGGACTGAAAACTTGGCCATGTTAAGTATGTTCTCTTAAATTCTGGCTGAAACCTGCTGTTTCCATGGACTCGGTAGATCTGAAGCACAAAGCAGAAG